GAGCATACCTACTTGGCTATAGCAGATAAAGGAGCTACGGACATAGCAGATAGAAGGTAAACAAGAAGCATAGATTCCGTGTTTATTTAACGTGATTCTTCCACCACAAAGCAAAATTGGTGAAACAAAACTTTGCAAACCGTTTGATCTCGACATTTCGATCCTATTTACACAATTACATAATCCTTTGAAGTTCCTTTGGAATATTCTTTGTTATATTTACCTTGATTCATTTGAAACATTGCCCAATTTACAAATAAAACTCCGTCGGAAGAACGCGAAATTAATACCTCAAATACATTATATTAATCAAATTGAAAGAAACTTTGAGTTCTCTTGAAAATTAATATTTTAATTTAATCAAATATGCAGAAGTGTAAGTATAAGATTGTTCATACTAAAATTAATATTTAATAAGTAGAATTTTGATAGAGCCATCATGGTTCAACGGTAAGCCAATTTGTATACCATTGTGTCAGTCTTCCAGTGTTCGAAATTCGGGGAATAATTGGTCCATCAGGCAGGGTACAGTACAACTCTGATAAAATCACTTAAATGGACTGGAAACAGAATTAAACTATTTCACAGGATATAAGAATTGTACAGATTATCAATGAGGTCTTTAGTTTTTTCTTTAACTTTATTTAATAAAAAAGTTATTATATAATTATTAACGATCCCATGTTTCCAAGAAGGTAAAACTTTTGACAGTTTAATATTTTTTCGCAGTAATAGAACATGAATAACATTCAAAAAATATGAACATATTCAAAATCCGTTGGAAGCTCCCTTCGATCCGGGCACATACTTGACTTCGAGCCTCCATACGTTATTGAAATAATATGGTAATCCGCGTTTAGTTTGATTAAAATGCAAATCTTGACATAGCTTCGGAAACAAGAACTTACTTAGAATCGAAATTACATATCACTCATTACTCACCAAAGTATGTAAGTACTAAAATCACTAGACTTATCATTATTAAAAAGTGTTTTGAATCTAGTTAAAGTACAATTTGTGTATATCGCGCAGATTGCGAAAATCTTATCCCTAATTGGTTTTCGCGGTACCAGGTTGACATAAACCCTAAGAAGCTTACATAAGACCGTCTTCTCAGTAAGTAAATCATTTAAGGCGGCTCTGTCACGTTTGGCCTAGCCGAAAAACTTGTTTGCAATTTGCTACCGAATTGCTTTTAAGATAATAATAATGTGCTTTTTACTCATTTCTGTAATAAAAAATGTAATATGATTATTCATATTGGTGGCGTGACACATACCATAACAAAACGCTTATCATTTTAAACATTTACTTATAAAACTAACTTCTATATTCATTTTATGTTGCGCTACAGAAATGCGAATAGAGTTTTTTAGGACACACTGTATCATGGAGAAAACAGGAGAATACACTGGATGTATGTATAGAATTCCAATAGCAATTTTCATAATACACGATATTACACATGCCAAGAATACACATGTACAATATTGTGTTATTTCGTAAACACGTCACAAAGACCGCAGATTCAATAGAAGTACGTGATCAACTTTGCTGAAGGGAGTTCAACTTACGCTGGTCTATATTTACCTTATATGAGAATGTATAGAACTATATAACACCGAGTTATTCTGTTGTCAGTAGATCGATCTATTTATAACATAATATTTATATTATGATGGATCCCGAAATTTCCCGAAATGCTCGGATAGGTAGTACGGAGTTTAAGTTAATATAAGAATCTCAGCACTCAGCTAAATGTAAACAGTAGAATCACCAATTGGTTCCATGGAAATCAAAATAAAAGATCAAATGTTTCTCCAAGGTTAATCAATGTTGCCGATTTTCTATTCACATTCTGAAATTAATTGAAAGGAGCTGAAGCCTCCGTACTGGAACTCTCAATTACTAAAGAAGTATTTTAATTTTTAAATGTGTTTCTTACATTTTAATATAAGAGTATATGTCCTTACTTCTACTACTTTTTATTTACTACAAAATAAATACAATTAAAAGCCTTATTTACGTTACTTTAATATCAATACGTACTTTATAAAAATCAATTAGCTTCTGTCTGTTGTTTACGCGAGTAGGTACACAATTAAATAAAACACTTTAACGGTTTAAAACGTGGTGTATATTAGTTAAACTTATTTGAAAAAATGTTAAACTAAGGCCCGACGTTTCGGATGCTTTGCAGTAGCTGTAGTCATGGGAAGACAGTTAAGTTAGTTTTAACCGTTAAAGTATTTCATTTAAATCAATTAGATTATTACCCAGATTCGACTATACCCCATACTATATACTATTAAATAAAAAAGTAGCCCACTCAATTTATAACCATACCGTTATAATATTTATTAATGTCCATCTTTTATGAAAATAAACATTTTTAACGGTTTAAGACGATATTTTAACTACGGCTGTGGTCCCGTGGAGTTATCAATAGCGATATATAGTCAATAGTTCAATAATAATTTCATGATAACTAGTAGAATTAAATGAATATCACCTCAACACAAAGGCATTGTTAATCAATTGTTTTAAAGTGCCACTTAAACTGGCTCGTACCTCATCCCTCACTTGTATAAGAGAAACATTGTTATTAACCACTATAGCAAGAGCTCCGTTAACTCTATGATCTGTAAACGATGGCGAGTTACGAGCTTGTCAAAGTTGTTGTAAACTACGAGTTAGTTCTACAATCCTGGTATATATTGTTAACTTTTGCATTCGCAAGCAACTTTTTGATTAAGTTACCCCTCAGGAGTCTGTGTTTTATTTATATGAGGGATATGGGATTGTAGCCAGGAGTCGATTCAAAAACTATTTATTAAATAATAACTTTCTCTCTAAAATAGCACAAAATTTGTATTAATGCGGTAAAACTACTTTTAGTTACTTTTTGTGTTTAAAAGGATTGTAGTATATGCGGTTGTACTTATTTATTTTGGGAAAGAATAGATTAAAATTCTTAACCCGTTAAATGTTGTTTTAAATAACTCACAACAAATTCTTATATCTTAAATAATATTGTCTTCGACAAAAAAATATACTAGCTTTCATAACTTTAAATATACGTGTAATTAGAAAACGTACACGATAAATATATTAAAATAACTAAGGATTTTGAAATAAATTTAGTTTAAATAACTCGTAAGAAGTAACATTAGAAACAGGAATTGTTACGAGAATTGGTGGTATAATATCTCAATAATGTGAAAATTTTGAGATAATTTTTGGGACTAAATTCAAAATCGCAAACTAAAGTTTTATAAGCCGCTTCAAAGCTTTTAGCACAGCCAATGTTTAGCTTAGCCGTTAACCTAATTCCGAGCCATGTAAGCTCTAATTAGCTTACGTGTGCAACATTTCATGTAAAACACGATACGTCGCTTGAAATACCAAAAGAGCGGCCATTTTGAAAATAAAAAGCCAGACATAAAATATTTTAGAGACCTACATTTTACTGCTTTTGTGGCTAAATAACATATATAATAACTTAGATCTGTAAATAAACTCTATCAGTGAACAGATATGTTCCCAAAATCCATTTAAGGGGACAAATGCTTACTTTGATTTTGAGAGAATGATTTAAATACGATACAGCTTTGCGGTATATTAAGAAATGTTAATACAGATTTTCCTCTTCTTACTTTATTCAAAATAAAATTATTAAAACTTATAGGAGTTGTTTCCTTTCATGATCAACTTGAAACTTCCTGTTTCGATATGTTTAAGATGGATCTACCTGTTGAGGAGTCACAACAGTTTGATTTAAAAGATCTCTGTTAAAATAAGAATTAAAGGAAGAATATACGAAAAAACGTTGACGGGCTCGTTAGGCTAATGGGAGCAATGTATTACTAATAATCATCGGGTCGTGTGTTCGAGCCCCACCGGGTCCAACTTGTTCCTAATTTTTCTGAAACATGTTGGACTTCTGGAAATCTGGATATTAAATGGGTGGTAGGAATATAGATAATCCGTCCGGTACACGAACCACTACTGCACTAACACTCTGTCGTCTTCTATTATTAAAAAATAAAAGAATGCCAAACAGCGCTAAATTACAATTATTATTATGTACATGTCACAAGTCACAGTGTTTGTTGTATAGTATCCAGAAATAAGACGTGTTTTCTTCAATATCGAGTAAAATTAGCACACTCCAGAATTCTCCGAAAATTGTTAATGAAAATTTTGTCATGGCGCCTCCCGCGTAAACAGATGACTGTCGTTAGGAATAACTTATAACTCAATTTGTAATTTATATTCGTCAACAAAGCGGATTATGCTTAAATTAATGAAAACGGAAACTTCGACACGGAAGTAACGAACCCTTCACTGCTTCCTTGTTTGTTGTACAATCAATTTCGAACAATACATTTGTAGTTTGACTGTTTTCATGGCTGAAAGTGTAATTACATTACTAAGAAGTGAGTGAAGTGAAATGAAAAGTCCTGGGTTCGAATTTCGGGGAACTTCTTTTACTATTACCTCACTCAGACTAAGACACGCTTTACAAAACATTGTTTGATATGTGATAAAAGTATTGTTATTTAATAATCCACATTATTTAAAAAGTTGTAAAATATATCTATTTTTAAACGGTTTTATTTAGCTCGACCTGTACTGAATTTATTTATTCGGGTTAAAATTATAAATTGAAATTTAAGCACCTTCCCGTTGTCAGATTGATCTGAAATAAACCTGGTAAACTCATTTAATTTAGATAACAGTACAATAAAATTAATAACATAATAAATCTAAGATGGCCGCCGATACGAAATGGCGGATTACATATTTTTCCTTAACCCCCCTCAATATGGGTATCAAATGAAAAGGCTCTAGTAAAACTGGTTATGTCAAAGTTTAAATTTTTTGATTAAAATAAAACTGTTTAACTTAAAAGTCTTCACCGTTTTTTATTAAGTTTAAACATCATGCATAATCATAGTTATAATAATGAAACATAATCTGTTTACTAAGTATTATATTTAATTATAATCAAAATCGTACTTCTTCGGGTACTGCTTCATCAGCATAATTTTGCCAAACTTTTCCAGCCATTTCTTTCTCTCCTCAATCTTAGGATTTAGAGTTGTGGACGTTTTTAGTCTCGCCATATTCTGTAGGTACGATTCGTAGAGACTCATCCTTGGTATAACTGAGTTATCTTCGGCTGGTTCCAGCGGCACGTTAACAGGGTCAAACGGTAGAGTTAGCATAAATCGGGGATCGCCGAAATACGGATTTCTGTCTACGAATTCCGTAGTTTTTTCCGTATTAATAGTATGTGTAGGTGTAGATGTACTTGTGGTCGTTGGGCGGTTATCTTCATCCCATATAATGCTATCGAGCCATCGAGCGAAACTTGCCGCTTTGGGAAAAGCGTGGGTTTTCGTGTAGAGGGCGCAAGTGTGCAGAAATGCAGATATTCCGATTAGCGTGTTGTTTTGGATCACCGCACCGCCGTTGTCTTTCTGGAAATATCATTTGAGATTCATGTAAGCTTGAAGAGAGAAGTTTTAGTATATTGAAACATTAAAAAATACACATAAATAAAATTTAACACTTTGAACTATTCAAAAGGCGAGATATAGTAGTTAAGGTTATTAATTTATTTTACCGCCAACACGTTTTGTATGCTTTGCCATATTTTCGAGACACCCCCCGTTTTCAGTTCCCCGAAAACATTCTTTAAAACTTTTTTACTCAATATATTTAGCGTCTTAAACCGTTAAAATTGTTTTATTGAAATATGTACTCCTCACGTAAATTACTAACAGATAGTAATTAATACAGAGCCAATATTTCTATCCCTACGATGTTAGGATCTACATAGATGGTGTAAAGAAAATATATTTCGCTTAGTCAGCCTGTGAGGAAAATGGGTTCGTTATGATAATATTTGGGCTCGCGGTTGATGAAAATTATTCATATATTGTTGTCTGAGTTGGAAAATAGCTGGCGTTAAAAATACTAATTGTATTATATGACCTGCAAAAATAAATTTTGATTATATTATGTCGGTAAAATACGCTAGTAGAACACATTAAAAACACAGTAAAAGAAGTACTTTTAACAGTTTAAAACGCGATCCGTATTAATTATTTTTAGTTTTAATTATGTGACTCCGGATGTTGCAAAGATAAACTAACGTATTTATTTGGTGTAAAACCGTTAAAACTGTAATATTTAATTAATTGACGTGAGTATGACGGTCAATCTCATGTCACGAAAGATCGTGGATATATCACGGAAGAAGCTAATGTGCAACATAGTTATGTTAAACAGAAGCGGTCAAGTTAAGACAAGCTAAACACTATCAACATGCGTACAAATATTTTTTAACGAAACAGACACGCAAATATGTCTGTACTATACACATAGGGAAAATAGATTTTTTAATACTAGGATTACATAAATTATAATAGATCTAAAGTATGAATATTATTAAAAACATTAACCCTGCAAAAGTGGCGGTTAGGATCCTGGACTCCCCCGATGCAGATGTAGTTTCCTGGAAGTAATTTGGTACTCGCATCGCAGATTGTAGCTTCGATTACCGGTGCGTTTACTAATCGAATATGCTAAAACCATTTAGAATATGAAATGTATAATAAGCTAGACTAAAAATTAAATTAAGAACCGCCTCCTCCTTTTAAAGTCGGTCAAAAGTACCGTAGGGCATAGGGCGAACACAAATCTGCGTCCGTTTCACTGATCGGTTTTCTTTACAAGCAAACAAAAACAATTGATCACAGTTCTCCCGACCGAAGCAATTTATTATTTTCCTAGGACTCGAACCCAGGAGCTCTCGTTTAACCATTCCTTTTCAGAGGCAGTGTTGTCTCTATTAAGCGCAATATTATTCAATCGTCGTAAATGAGTATTATAGATAGTGTTATGCATAAACAATTTAATAAATTTAAAAAAAGGTTCAAGGACCTTTTTATTCTAAGAATCGAACCCGCAAAATGCTCGTTTTATATTAAATTGATCAAGGAGTCTCTCACACGACATTTAAACTCAAAAAATCTGTTGAATAGAATAATGTTGAAATGAAAACAACAGGACAAGCTAACTCCAATTTTACACGTTCGATATAATGCATAAATCTTTTTTATATTACAAAGCTGTGTATCACAGATCTATTATAATAGATTATATTATCTAAATTATATTTATTCCCGCGTTTCGGGGAGTATGTGGACGTTTTATGACCACTGTAAAATACAGGATTTATCCCCGGGAGCGTTTTTATTAGCATTTCTATAAGATCAAAGATATGAGAGGGCTTTTTAAAGAATTTCGATTTTGAATAGATATTTCAAGATGAATCTGTTCATATTGCAATATATAGTGGTGCTGAAAATATGAATACGCGTATGTTGTGTATGAATGAGTATATTGCGCTAAAGTAAAAGAAACTTAGACCGTTAATTAAAACATACACATTTGACATGTAAGAAGTTTTTGGTCTTTTCTTGCTAAGATTTTGTGAAATGTATATGCTAATCTCTGAAAGAGCACAAATCCCGACTAATTAACATCATTATATAGTCAGTTATTATATCGTAAAAACATTTTTAACGTTTAAAATTAAAAATCTATAACAACCAATCTCGTTTCAAACCGTCAAGTGTGATTTATTTAGTGAGTATACTTTATCATTTTATTAACAGCAATCGAATTCTAGGCCTGCTTCTTTTTACTGGCCTTTGAACAATTCTTTGACTTATAATATAGTACTGTTGAGTGTAGGTGCACTGGAGGTTGTACTTACACCTGTAGGTGTCCAAGCCAATAATGACGTGAGATAACCCAGCGACACATCGTCGTCTGGGCTCGGTAAGTTGACAGCTTGCACTCGAGCATCAAACAATAGCGGCTCACTTACTTTCACTGCGGTAACTTTCAAATCGAAATTGTTGATTGTCATTTTTATCTAAAAATTTTGAAAAATTTTTGGACTGCATCGTATAAAAAAAAATGTGTTTGTTTGTCCTTTCTTCAAGCCCGATCTACATAATTAACTAAGCGATATCGCGCACAAACGCTAGTATATTAAATTCTTTGGGATTTCGTTAAACATAAAATAAACTTCTCAATATACATATTTAATACCAGAAGTCGCCCGCAGTTTTGTTCGCAAGGAAAATTGACTTTCAGTAGCATGCATTTATTTTACAGTCAAACATTTAATTACATACCGTAATACATTTTTAAAGACTCTAGCAGTTTAGCAAATTAGTATATACAATGTACATACAGACTGCGTAGTCAGATGTGTTTTATAATTTGTTCAACTATACACATGATTTCCAAGTAAATTAATATATATGCAATAATATATTCAGTATACCTTAGAGATATTTCCGCCCTTATTGTTGTAGTTACTGCCAGTACGTATTGTGTAGTTGCTCAGATATTTGTGGTTAACGTGCGATGATATTGCACTCCTGGAAACACAATAACGGTATATCGATAGGGAGACTAGTATGAGAATGTTCTCAATTACTAGGTGAGATTTGCCATACTGATACTAGATTATTTATAATCAATTAATAGTTCCCACAGCTGGGACAGCTGGGATTATAACCATCATTAACACATTCGCCTTTCGCAACGTTTTTGATACAAGGTATTTTATTGTTGAGTTCTATAACAAAAATATAAAATAGCTTTTACGAAAGCAACATAGAATTCTTCTAATTCTATCTCTGTGAATTTATAGTTTCCTAGTAAGAAAGAGTAATGGTTACGCGGCAGACAACAGAGTTTTAAATTGGAACAAATTCTATAAAACGGTATAAGGGAAGGTTTAAAAAAATATATTGTTTGCTATTCTATATCGGGGTCGTCCTTATTCAGTCCGACAGGGAGAAAACGCTCACATAAAAGTATTAATAATTCCGTTTGTTCTAAAAGAATACACGTTATTTTGTATGTATTAAATATAGAATAACCCATGTCATCCACAGATTTGTAAGGGCGGCATATGTCACTTACAAATGGTTACAACTCCCTGGTACCTTTGGGAAGCATATTGCTATGAAGTTTTATTGTGTGACGTGACCTTTTTACGTAACTTTATTATTCAATGAGCGAAATTGCTCTTTTGTAAGTTCTAGGTTAGGTTAGATAATGCTTACAATATTTTAAAGCTTTATTGTGATTTGCGTATACTTATTGTATTAAAGGACATTTTAATACAATTGATTTTTTAAAATTATAGTAAAAAAAATTGTTAAATCATTCGAAAATTATAGTTTTACATATTCATTACAGAGGTTTATTATATAAATACATACATACTAGAACTAGATTATTTATTTAATATATATTATAAAGGCAAACCTAAAAATATGATTATTAAAAATTTAAAGAGGAAAATCTCACAGAATCGTTCTTCATTCGACGTCGCTCAAAGGTTTTCACGAAAAGTCAACAGTGGTTAAGGGCCCTCGCATAACCTTAGACAGGGTCAAACACTCTTACGTTTATCGACATAAGCGGCCTTTTCATAGTTTAATCGTTACATAGCTTACATCACGTAAACGTAGAATGAAAGGGTCAAAGTTACGAATTAAATATCAGTTCTAAAAAAATAATTGAAAGTAGAATGACGAATTATATGTTTTATACCTCAATAGTATAATAGGACCTTTTCTGTCCACCTGACTGCCCTGGGTAAAGACAGATGAAATTATAACACATTATGTACTACTGTTGCTGCAACAAGCCACTAAAAGTAAAGTAATATATTTGAGGAAGCTGATATAAAAAATCGTGTTATGTGTCCTGTTTTGTGCGATATCAATAAATGACAACAGGTATCCGAATATCCAAAGTTGAAATAAGTCGACCACTCATCTTGCTTAGATGTTCTTTGGCTGAGGTATTTTACCTTCTATCAAATGAACTCCTGCTTTATATTTGAAAAAAAAAGGTAGTCATTTTTATTTTTTATAAAATACCTAACTACTCCAATATTAAATACAATATTAAAAATATACCTTGAGTACGACACCGACTCGCACTTAGCCGTTTTTTTATACTTTGCTAGTGAGAGTCATGTTTGATTTTTTCTTGTTACAGTACGCGACAAAATTTACAAGAATTATTGATAAAATTATAATGTCTTCATATTTGCATTACGCTTTAAGAGCCAAAATTTAACAATTTTATGTATAAACCAGGGTTGCTTTGCGGCTCTCATTTACTTCGCTACGTGACTTCGTGACGTCACATAAATATACGACTACTAATGCGAGTCATACTAAAATTTGATATTATAAAGTAGATTGTTAAATATTTTGGTAATACAATTTTGGTAAGCAGATATTTTCTAGATTTTCCGTAAAAGTTCGCTCATATTAGAAATAATGAAACATGACCACACAATTATTAGAAATATCTCTCTCTCTCTCTTAGTGTTCAATACAAACGCTTAGAAATACATCTACTAGGTTTGCATAAACTAAAAGAGTACATAGTTATTTCCAAAATTTACGCTTGTGGTTGCGAAGGGCTCCCGCAGTCTGTGGCATTGCAGCAAAATTATAATTAAATTCCGGGTGAGCCGAAAAATATAGCAACACTTCGCCGAGCGAGAGCAATTATAAAATAAAGCGTTCCTTTCAAAGTTACGTAAAAGCCGAGTCAACACCTGTAATTAAACGATTACTAAAGTTTGAATCGACCTTTTATTATATCGCTTTAGTGTAATTGTGAGATAAGGCCTATAATTGGCGTGATAAAGGTACACACACACCTTTATAATTTATTGATGGGAAACAAAAAAGTCTTTGACCTTGAGCAGTCTATTGTCTAATTTAATGACTAATTTATTTCGCGTTTTAATTGCTAAATATATTGAAGAACTGCACATTAAAATTGTATCTTAGTTGGATACGAAATATTTTAATATTTTTGAAGACGGTTCTTACTTAGTGTAATAAAGTTAAATTACGTAGTAACCTTCACAATAGTAAGCACTGAGCTAAGATTTAATGAAAGGAAAAATCCCACACAATGCCCCATAAATTTTCATGGAAGCATAAGGAAAAGGCACCCTTTTAAGTATAGAATAATATTTTTCTTCCTCTTAATTTAGGCCGAGATGAATCTGGCACAGTGCAAAGTTGGAGTACTGTGTACTGTGTTAATAATGTTTAAAAGCAAAATGTTATACTTAAAAATATATAACTTTGACTTCTGATCGATATGTTATTTTGATACTTTTGGTTATAAACTATTCACCTTTCAGTTGAAAAATCATAAAACAATGAGTGAAATTTAAATAAAACAATTTAACGGTTTAAAACGCGATATATTAGTTAAAATTATTTGGAAAAATCATTTCCAAATAAGTTTAACGTTGTAAACCGTTAAAGTGTTTTATTTAAATGTGTACTACTCGCGTAAACTATAGACAGTATTTATTGAGTGAAATGTTAATGAAATTAAAACGAATGTGAAAATATGTCTGTATAATAGAACACTTTTTAAAGGTTCAACCTGCCAACTGCCTTGGTAATTAAATTTAATTGTGTAAAGAGTGACTCGCCACTACGCAATGACCACCACGCCACTCGCCGGGTTGCCTGGGCGACAGACGATCAAGTGCGTATGCGCCCATTTAAACCATAGTAACTTACAGTCGCCGACTAGTCGACAGTGCGTAATAGCGTTTATGAAATGCGCCGGGGCCTTACCAAAAATACATTTAGCAATATATTTTAATCTGTTCTAAGAATTTTATTACGTAATGTAATAATGTACCCGCAGTTGTAGTAGATACAGTATGTTTATTATACGCTAGTCCTTAGCTTTTGGTTACTTACGTATCAAAACATTTGGAGAGAGTTATTAGCCAATACGAGTTTAGCACAACAGCGCTACAAACGTACGAGTCGTTCTTAAGTAAAGACGCGGCGTAAGGGTGTTTATACACTTGAGTCACAGCTGCTCCTATATGCTCTTCACTGTCATCTGTATCGTCTGCAAAGAAACCGATTTAAAAGATCGATTCTCTATTTTTCTATACTCATTTAAAATGTTACTAGTTTCTACAAAAAAAAGCTCATAAAAGACTGATTTTAGCGAAATAATTAAAAAAATAATCATATGTAAATAAATAAATTATTTTTAACTATATAAATTAAAAATAGATTTTAGATTAAAAAAAGCGGCACTGACAGTGTTCCGTACTGTTACTCTAACCAATTGAGCTATCGTGCCATTCATGTTTTTTTTTTATAAATTGTGGTGTTTGTAAATAATAAAGTTATATAAATAAATAATAATAATGATAAGTCTCTATACATTTTTAAAAACTCACAAGAGAGGTTAAAAAAACTTTGGTATTTAATAAATTCCCATCAATAGTCAGTACTGTATATCATGTTAAGTATATTTGCTACTCACCATTGTCAGTATACACTTTAGTTGTATTATGCTCGCCGTCTTCGCCTGTAAAGTGGTTTTTTATTATTTGGTTATACATGACAAACATTTAATTACAATATATTACCTGTTTCCAAATTCTCACTGTCTCCACCACGTACAGTGTAGAAACAGACATACAAACAGAACACTCCAAAAGCCCTCATTCTTTAACAGTACTGTGTTCTTTGGGTGAATAATTTTATGGGTTTCTTATTGTTTCCTGTTTGTAGAGTTATGAATCAAAAGACTTAATGGCCTCTTATTTTAATAAATCCGTTTTATTAATAATTTATATCTCTTACATTGTCATGCAGTCATTTAAAGCTTTGATTGTTTTTCTTACTTTCTTGAATTACATGAATATTTCTAATTCGACTAAAACGAAAAATAAGAGACTCCAGGGAAAAGCGAAAGTACACAATGCCAAATCTCAAACATATTTCTCTTTTCACGTAATTTTATAGAAATGAAAAATGCAGCTACCCTTCGGTTCCCCAGAGTAGCCCTTTGTGCTTTGAATCTTAATATTAGAACATTCTTTTATAATATTGTTGGGTCTCTTCGAAATTCCCACTGAAAAAATAACTTTATATTCATTTATAAATAATTTTAACAACACTTAGTGTTAATTTTAGCAACTTTCCGTTATTAAATAAGTAAGGTAACTATATGAAAAAGGTAGGATAAAAAATTAGAAAATATAAACAAAACTTTCTTAACAAGTAAATACGATAGAAAAATTTAAATCGAAAAAGACGATTTTTGTTGTTCGTGGTGTGCATATACAAGGTTATTCCTACTTCATGCGAAACCTAAAAGTAGTTGGTTCAGAATCAGTAGCAAAATCCATCCAAAAGTTTTATATCACGTTATATTTTTTGTCTTACATGCCATTTAAGCATTTTGACAGTCCAAAGCCTGTAAGTGTGATGGGAAATGTTGTTGCCAAAAATTTCTTAATACATTCAGTGAGTAGTGATAGGTACATAAAAGTAGTGAATCGTGTAGTGTAAGATGCAGGACGCGGAGCGGAGAGGGAGGGGGTGCGAGATAGCGCGCTGCGTTGGCGCCTGCTGAGTAACCACGATAATTCTGGATGAACAATAACATGAAAAAATCTCATAACTTCGTGAGTTTTCTTTTTTTTTATGTTGATTTTTTATCCTGATTCTGCGAAAATTTGGAGTGTTTCAGCTTTAGTATCAACAAAGAATAACCTTGTATAAATAAAACATTTTCAAGGTTTGAAAACTTTATTATTTTTTAACATGTTATTTATTGCACATGAAGGCACTATAATATAATTTAAAACTCGATAAGAAATTGACTGTTTTTTGCGTCAGCGTTGCGTTCAGAGCGACAGCAGGGAACGCTGACGATGCCGGTTCAAGTCCTGTCCGAGATGAAAATTGTTTCAATTTATTTTCGATTTTTACATTTTTCAAAGGTTAAAATGAAAAATTTAAGTTTTTTTTGTATAGGAAATTATGAAAAGTTTCAATTTCCTAAATAGCACTGAGATATTAAGTCATTGTAATAACAATGTACAATATAAACTAATTTGAAAACTAATTAGTGCTGTTAGCTAATTAAAATATTAAATTGAAACTAATTTAATTCCGCGTTAGTAAAACCGTCTACAATTTCGTGGCTCTGCAAACACGTGATGTTTCAACTCTTGCTAAAATGTTTTGTCAACAACGTTGTACTTATGTAATTGCTTTTAGTATAGCGTGACTGAAAACTGTACATTTTCAGTTATACCTCAAGTATGTAGATTTAACTCCTTTGTTCTACTACTTAGTAGAATTTCACTGTAGATTCTTGTGGTTCGTAACCTAGGTTTGGAAGAGACGCCATGTACCGAAAGAATTTGTTAAACATTGAATGACTAATTAAGTAAATGTAATGTAATGAAAAACTAGCACGGTCGTATGGGTTGATGAACTTCTATTTTCCATAGAAGTTTAAAGAAGTTTTTTTTTTAATATCTCAGAAGGCTTATTACATACATAAACTCCTATAACGTCTAAAATTAACCATCCTGGAGCCATATACGTAATCCTCCATTAGACACGACGCCGAAGATAACCTATTTACGTTGTAAGGCGTAGTGATAAAGGACACTTGTCAAGATAACCGCTATTAGCGTGAGGGCTATTAACCCAAAGGCTCTTATATAGTTATGCCTTCCTGGTACTTAAACTTACTTTGGATTACATTAACAGTTCATTTTTACAAAAAAAAAGCAAACAATAAATTAATAATAATAAACGAGGAAAAATCTCGTTTTCCCAATCAGGGGCAATTTTCTCCTGGGATTCAAACCCGGGACCTCTCCTAACTTAATTAATCTATTTTATTATTAAATGACGAGTATTTTTTAATAAAGAGGAGAATATTTAAGTAAGAAAAGGTTCGGTTGTTTAAATAAATAATGATATTAACTCGGTTTTTTCAACCTAATTCCATTGTTAGAGCCGTATGTTCGAATTCTTTACTTAATGTAACAATAATATTCTAATTGTAGTTGCATAATGAAATAATCTTTATGATCGCTCTGCATCATTTTAATTGCGTCCGTAGGCGGGTTTCATTTAACCCGTTGTTAAAATCCTAAAAACGTATAAATCATATCTGTTTGTTGAAACGTAATCACCTTAACCCGCACCTGCTATAGCAATACTTATGTGCAAATTACCCGGGGGCCGAAACGACCTCAAGTAATTGATCATGTTTGACGCTCCAACCCATTATTACGAGAACGTGACATTGCGGATTTATCGTATATTTCTTTTCGTGGTTTTTTAAGCGGACCCTAAACGTAATCGTGTATATTTTGGCTGTTTTACAAACCTGCATTTTAATATTTTTTTAAATAAAATCCTTATGTTTGCGATTTTATCAATAATTTTTGACACATCGAAAATTTTACTACTATCAGTACTAAGTTGTTTACTTCTTATTTTTTAGAGAACTTTCCTTTTTGCAAAATACCTTTTTATGTACTTATAATGTATTTAAATATTAAATGAAATGCCTATTTTAAAAATACATTTACGATCAAAGATTTGGAGTATTGTTAAATTTTGATGGTGTTGACTTTAGTAAGGAAATTTGGGTGTTTATTAATAAAAAATAGTAAACAAGAGTGCCATTTCATACTGCAATTAAGCTCGCGAGACCAGCACAAATTGTGTAGATGCGCCACGGCGTGAACGACCGTCGTAAAGGAATCGGAACAAAGGAGCTGCGGCAGCGAGCGGAGGGTTATGAAGACAAATGATTGCTACTCCGCTCTACTGTATAATTAGCGACTAACAATGGGATATTTAATTGCTATTTTTGTTTTGACATTTACAAGGCTCTTAAATGAGGGAGGACATATATTATTCTACAATAGATACAAAGCACATCTTAGTTCTTTGAATATAATATGTATAGTTGAATCTTTCCTTACAAGGTTTTAGGTAAATTCTCGGTTTAAGTTTCCTCTTTATAATTTACTTATCAACTAAAATATGTTTAAGTACTGCCTGTAGTTTACAACAGATTAACAACCGTTTACAAATAATTTTACCTACGGTCCCCCCGCCACCACGCCTACGGAAAAGCATCCGTAACTTCGGCCTCTAGTTTATAGTATCAACTAATAATTTTCACGTTTTAAACCGTTAAAAGTATTTTATCAAAGTATCTGTAATTAAAATAATTCTAGTTATAATAGCTTATTCAATTTTTAACGGCTGAACACCTTTTATACAACAAAGGTAGTATAAGAACAATAGTATATATATAAAAAAATATAAGACAAACGGTTTCCAAACATAAAGTTCCAAATATTTGAAAATACCAATCCATCTACGTTTGTTGAGTGAGCTAGGAACTATCATGGTTCTTGACATACTGGTATCTGACGGACAAACAGCGCAGTTTTAACAACAGAGTTTTTTTACCCTTTCTGCGTGGGACTCTGAAAACCGATTTGTATTGGAAAACATGGTCATAAAAAATAATGTAAAACAGAAGCGGTATTTTCGCATATAAGTGTTCATAAAATTCATATTAAGTGCCCACATCGCGTTACACGGCCCTTAATAGACGAGAAAATTGTCACAGGGGTGTCGTGTTCGGAGGCAATCTTGTAAGTGAGGCGAAAAACAGCCTTTTAGGTCACATTTCTGGATTATGAGCTGTGTGACTATTACTCCAATGAAATTTAAGTCTTTTATATCATAGTAGACGGGTCACATAAAATATTAGTAGTGCCAGCGACTCCATCCGCGTAAAATATTTATTTTGGATATCAAAATTAGTTTTTTGCAAACCTGCTCCTCATCTTTGTAAAATGTTGCTGTTACCCACGACATTCTTGCAAGTTAATCTTAAAAGATAGCCTGTCATACATACTCTTTTAGATCTTTTGAAAAAGCCTGTCTTATATAAAATGAACACAAAATGCAAACATGAATAACAATGGGAATTCATTAATTATTTTAATACATTTTATAATACTTTTTAAGTTATGACGAATAAATAAATACGCTGCCTTAATACGACTTTCCTATTTGATTCGATCGATTTCTGGTCGTAATATTTATTATAATTATGTCATATTATGTAAAATCCCCTCTATATAACCCCCTGTATATAACTATGCCTTAATTACCATACTCTACGAGGAAGTTAAAACATCCTCTCAAAATTGTAGAATATTTTTTAGGTACGTTAATAAATAAATCTAGTGTTGCCAGCGTTATCGAGACAGGCGGAAAACGGGCGATTTATCAAACGGCAACACAATGGAGCTTAGTTACACACGATATATTGAGCGCTTGTTAGCTTTATAGATGGATAAAAGCTTTCATAAATATATTTGTAAAGTGATTCTTTACCATTTTGATAGATTCTTTGAAGAAACGAAGCGGAACATTGCTAGCATCGTTTCAATACGTACCGATTGTTGAATGTTTATTTTCACATAAATAATGTTTTGCTTTGACAAGGGTGAATAGACATGGGTTTACTAGACAAACGGTGGGAAGATCCGAGTTTCAAAACATCTATTAAGGTGTCGACTAATTTTGGTTTGTAATCTTCGGTAATCTACAGGCTAAACCGAAAAGGATGGAAAATTTATTTATGGACGGAGATACTAATGACTTATCTAATTAGGGACATGTTTAGTAAGCTAAATACATACTGTCTATAGTTTACGCGAGTATTACACATTTAAATAAAACACTTTAACGGTTTAAAACGCGATATATTAGTTAAACTCATTTGAAAATGATTTTTAACTGCTGCAAAGCATCCGAAACGTCAGGCCGAAGTTAAAAATCATTTTCAAATAAGTTTAACTAATATATCGCGTTTTAAACCGTTAAAGTGTTTTATTTAAAAGCAAAATACATACAATCTTTTATAAGACTTTCACGGCTGTTGTAGTTAAGAAAGCTACTTCGTTTAGTCGACAAAAGCGCATCTCGTGATGATGTTATCCGTTCGTGAAAAACGCGAAACACTAAGAATGAATTTTCAATTAGGCACAATGGCTGAGTAATTTGAAAACTAAAGTATCTTTGTAATATATATTACGAGCTTAAGAAGAGTTTTTTGCGTGAAGAGAAACTCAGACTGACCTCTTTTTTTTACGATGATTGTCTAGTACTATCTCTATAATTTTGTTCCAGAAGTTGGTGGTAGGGAGTCCGAACCAGCGTAATTGGCGCGGTATCCTCATCGCGTTACTGGTTATTGTGTTGGTGCTAGCCCTAATCGTGACATCAGTGGTGCTGCTCACACCTCCCGATGAAGGCCCGAGGGTTAAGGGGAGACGACTGAAAATCCAGGATCTGGTGACTGATGAACTGGTGCCTGTTAGGTGGAATGGAACTTGGATTTCAGGTTTGTACCTTATCAGTAACATTTTTAAAAGGTATTTTTTAAATAATTTTTCTCCTTTGCTTTAAATACAAAGTGTCGAATCTTTTTCGTTATATTTAATCATAAAAAAATCTTACTCAGAAATATTAATTAAACACGGTTTCACAAAAAAATATGATATTTGAACTTGATGCATACAAAAATGGTTTAACGTGCATAGCTGTATCGATGCCCGCTAATGACAAAATGTCAAAAAGCTTTTCCTCAAATTAACAACTGTTCCAAATTTAACTTTTTAAATTGAATGAATTGATCCCGTCGGCAATTGGAATTTGAGTGAAAGAGGAATATTATAGACAAATACAAACTTGTTTTATCACCATTCAAACTCAAATTATTTATTTATTATGTATTGCACAAAAATATAAATAAATACTGATAAAACTTATATACTGAAATGGAGTGCAATGCGTGACCTTATTACTAACAAGCGATCTCTTACAGGCAACCTAAAGTTTGGGAATAAAGAGTTAAAATGAGATGTGCAAAAGATATTAAAATTGCTAAAAACATCTTCGTTTTAAGCTGTTTTTTCATATGTGTCAAGTCTCTGTACTACTACATACAAATGCCAAGCATAGGTTTATGTCCGTTTACTTAAAGATGCAACTTACAATAAATAACAACCAAATCCCCTGTCTAACTTGAGTAAGGGCCACCTCCCAAAGCTGCACAAGTTATTAAGTCGCAAAGAACACCTTAGAAAAGTCAACTTGACCTACTTTGTTGTTGACCCTTGTTACAAAGGAAATGGATTTTTATTGACGTGTACTGTAATTATAAGAAGAAATAGCTCTATCATTTTTAATATCGAAAGTGGGAATAAGGTAAAATATCCCTTGGTTGCCCAAAGTGCGCGTCGTACGTTGCCCATCGTTGCGTTGAGCGTGAGGGCGAGGTTTGGATTCTGGCAAGAACACAGAATTTATATCACCTTAAATGTAATAAAATATATCAGTGAAACCGGTTGAAATGTTGAATCCATTTATGTAAGAAAAACGCATTTCTGTTTATGGACTAAGTATTATTTTTTTCGTATTATATGTTACAGGCGATTTAATAAGTCCGGTCACTATTAATAATGCCCAGTTAATTCGCCCGTAACTTTTATTCTCATTTGTCCTATATAATGAGTTAAATAGTTTTTTTTAAATTATTATTAGATACTAATTATTACAACACTAGTATATTCGTATTATCTTTATAAAAAAATAAGATACAGGCACAAAGTAATTCGTGAAATACAAAAACATAATTAATTAATTTATATGATCTCATTACAAAAGTAAAACCAATTTATCTTACGTATTTTCAATACAACGTAACTACATTAGCATATAATTACATTTACATAAACTAAATTGCCTCCGAAAACCTACCCTTGATTAAGCTCGGAGTTCCGATAAAAATTCATGAATAAGGATCGCCACAGAATATTAAACAATCCAGTATGAACGTTCGATCAATATAAGCAGAAATAGCGTCCGCAAGTATTTTTTACGATCGTATACAACTGAATAGTTGCAATAATATACAAATTTAATATAAGTTTTCTTTTAATTTCTATCATCGCAGGACCGACTGATTCGTAATCAAACCACTCCAATATGGAGTAGCCTTGACGGTCACACTTCCGAAAGCGGTAAGGGCTTCTGGTCGTGTTGTATATTCTGTGGGGTTAAGGCATAGCGTGGGTAGTCTCATGATAGTGGCCTATAAAGGTGAAGTTTAGTAAATAAACCAATAAATCAACTCGCTAATAGAATTTATTGAGGCAATATTTCTTCTGTCAAAACCAGAATGGGGCTTTTAAGCTCGGGCATTAAAACTTTAATTAATTTTCGGATTAGTTACGGACATTATAAGTTTGCGACTGTGAGAATAAAATACATTTTTGTACCTTTTTCCTTAAACTAATTTAAGTATTTTCACTAGAGTATCTTCATAATACATTCGTTTTAGCAGAAATTCACCGAGTAATGTTTATGGTTTACGCGAGTAGTACACATTTAAATGAAACGCTTTTAACGGTTTTTAATTTAATGTAACTACAGGCCGATCTCGGAGATGTTTTGAAATAGCCGTGGCCACGGAGATGTTTCGAAGCGTTAGGCCCTAGTTAAAATTAAATAAAAATAAGGTAACTAATATATTCCGCATTTCGGGCCGTTAAAAGTGTTATATTAAAATAAGTGGGTGAATTATAATTCTTCTAGAGGGCTCCGAAATTTAGACTCACTACGCATGTCCAAAACAGTTTGACGGTCTTTTCACAACAACGACCACTAAACTAATGCGTTTATGCATTAATTTAGTGGCATATAATGTAATTTATTTATTGACCCTATGCAAACAATTTTAATAATAAAACTAAAAATAGGATTGGTTAATAATTTCGCATGTAAGAGAACGATAAAGAGTTCTCAATCTCTTTTTCATGATAAGAGATCTTGTAGAGCTTCTAAAACAATTTGTTTTGAAAGACACGATAATGAGCTTGTCTTTCAAGAATGTACAGTAGTCAGAACAAGTTGAATATCAATCAAAGTCAACTGTGCAGCGTTCGTTCCTAATGTGTTTCCGTTTGTTTTTACAAACGATCAAAGTATTATTTCTGTGGCTAATGGAACAAGGCAAACCGAAGTTAATTTTAGACATGACCGAAGTTAAGTTTACAAACTCGATAATCGATTCGTCACGAGTATGTTACCGCGAGATCAAATAAATAACTGGTATATACCATGGTTATATAATACAAACAGTGTGGCCATATCAAAAAAGGCAAATCTGCCCGGCAATCGCAAGAAAATCTGCAAATTCTGCCAAACCTAACTCAAATGCCAAAAATTTGCCATCATTTTTTCCATCAGACAGTAGGATAAATAAAATACAGAAATTTTCATTTTAATCTATTTTTTTTCATAACAATACTAATACCATCTTCATGTTCAACATTTGCTTCCCCTCTTCTTTTTCAATATATATTGATTTGGTCATAATTTTAAGCATTTCTTTTGTAGGTGTAAAAGACATACAATCTCCGTGTTCTTTTACACCTTCTTTTGTTGTTATAAGAGCGGAAACATGTTTGTTAATAAACCTGTTTCTTATTTTGGTTTTATTTAGGTTAACTTGGGAGAATATTCTCTGATGATGGTTTGACATAGGCAAACCTAGAAGAGCTTTTGCAAAGTTTGTAATATTTACATATTTTGGGACTCCCTTTGCATCACGAATTTTCCCAATCACTCCCCAAAATTTATCCACACTTAAAATTGTACTGTTGCTACTCCCACCAGATTCCAATAAATCACGTACATCTTTGTCAAATTTGAGTTGTCTAAGTTCGTCGTCAATATTCTGAATATTACTTTCATCAACTATGTTGGGAAATTTATTTTGTTATGTTTACGGTTGATACAAAATCTTTGTAAACAACATTTTGTGGGTCTAAAAACTGTAAATCTTTAAAGATGTTATTAATTGGCAATCGTGTTTTTAACTGAATACAGAGTTCAATTAAAAACGTTTGCATTCTTTGGCGGAAAGATTGACCCAGGTTTTAGACTTACATCTGCACTCTAGATAAACGACCAATTTCTTTGCAAACTTCACACCTAAATATAATTCTTGTAAAGACAAAAAGTTCACGCTAGATTTTGGACTATATGAAGTGGATCTGTAGTTTTAAATAATTTCCCTTTAAATAACAACTCAAAAGGCTAATGTACACCTCAGAAATGTCTTTGAATCAGTGTGAACTGTGTTGTAATCTCTTTGAAATTATGTTCGTTGAAAACTGCCAAAATCTGCCAGTTTTTGCAATCGTCAACATATTCTGCCAGACTCAAAATTTAGGTCCCAAATCTGCCCAAATGGCAGAAATCTGCCACAAATGGCCACACTGTATACAAACTGTATATAATAAAAATAATTTTATACTTTTTAGCATGCCATCTTTAGTCTCTTTGAGGCCACTTGTACTGTAGTGTCATAAAGTCAGGTCATAGATGAAAGTTACTAACTATAATAAATGACTTTTTAAAACCGTTAAAAGTGTTTTAAGTAACGTTGTTTTGGTCTTTATTTAGAAAAGGATTATGATAATGAAAACCCTCCTACAGTGGCATAAATCAAACACAATTTGCTTAAGTTATTATTTTGAAGGCGTTGACGGAAGATGCCTTAATTAAAAAAGATGCATTCTTCAGTTTTAAATAAAACAAGTATGCGTGTGCGTTATTAAAGTATTAAGTTATTTGAATGCCTTGGTTTAATGCAGTTGGAAAAAACATATATTTCGTAAACGGAAAAAATGTACACGGATAACATAAGAAATATGAAGCTACCGAAAGTAACATACTAACAGAATAAAAGCGAGTGACATCGTCAAATGTATTCGCTTTGTGGGACAAAGTACAAAGTAGAGACAGCAACAATTCTGTTCGCAATTGTCTTATTTTCTGTTGTAATTTATAGCGTAGTGAATATTTTTGTTCTATTCATTTTTGCTTCTGATGTTCAAACTCAACAAAATATAATTAAACTTCCTGTGTTATAGTGTCCTGGTAAACATAAAAAGGATTGAAGACATTTTGCATTTTTTTTTGTTACATTTACTTTGATTTTAGATTTGAAGCAGTGAAGACTGTGGATGATGACTGTTTAAAATAGGCCGACAACATCTCATCTCATCTCACTATTATGTTATATGGCTGAGGTATCACCCATCAAACCTACCATTTGTTTCTTCTTCTCTGTTATAAAATAATATAACAATTAAGAGATAGTTTGTAATGTTCACTTAATCAAGCAATAATAGATTTTAATTTCCCAACAGCGAGCTAAATTACTGAGCTCTCGAACAACTAACCCTGGTTGGCACTCACCCATATGTTCATAACGTGCAGGGCTATCACTTTACGGAATATTGCATATTAATATCGCATATTCAAGTGCTT